CGTCGCAGACCCAGGCCCTGCTCCCCAACCGGAAAATCTTTCATGTCTTTGTCCTTCCACCAAGATTTTGTCAGCCGAATAGCTTTCCTTTCATGCACTATAATTTGGAAAACTAGAAACAAACACTTTATGTATATATATATAATATATATATAACACCCAGTTATCTTGCCTGCTTGGAGCTTTGGGCCAGGGTGTTGTTGGCCCAGGTTTTAAAATTTGGGTTTTTAAATCTGGGCTTCCCAGTTGCATGAGTTAGCACTTAAAAAATAAGTGAGGCATCCAAAGCCCAGCTCTCGTGTGAGCCAGCCAGGGTCTGCAGACACACGCCTAGGGCTTGAATGAAGTTAAAAGCAGGTCCTAATATATTAGGGACACCATTTGAAGTCCATTTAGGTAAATCTGCAGAGAATTTCAGCCTGGGGGTTTTAATTAAAGGATTTTTTCCCCCCTTTCTAGGCTGAGCCCATATGATTTGACAATCTTTTTCTGCTCAGCTACTCAAAACCTCTGGTGTTTCCTAAAATAGACACCTCTGCTAGTGATGCTGTGAGAGAGCCAAATCTCTGATTGAAAAACAGGAAGAGAAATCAATTGGAGAGCTGCTCCGAAATCGGTGTGAGAATCACACCGGCATTTCTGCACAAAGCCCTGTCCCAAAGGACACTCTCAGGAGAAAATGTAAAGATTCATTCTTTCTTGTGGGTTTTTTTCTTTTTTTTTTTTTTTTTTTTTAGGAAGTAAACCCCTTGTTTGGGCCACAAGGGCGCCAGTGTTTTTCTGCGAACACCAGCGCCATGGGTTTTCTGGGGTACGTGTCTGCCTCTGGCTCGACTTCGCAGGGAGGGTTCGGTGAGGACAGCTCGGCCCTTGCCAGCAGCGAGGACGGGGCTCGAGTTATCGCGCTTTTGACACGTATAGAAACAAGCTGGTGATGCCTGCAGCGGCGCGGGAGACCGTTTTCTCATTGCACTAAACCCTGCTCTAGCAGTGAAAAGCAAATTGCACTTCCTCCCCCGAACTATTTTGCTTTGACAGGCTGTTGTTTGTCGCATCTGGGTGATAAGCGCCTTAGAGGAAGGTCTAAAATCCAAACAAAAAAAGTCTTGAAAGAAATGAGTATCTCAGTAGCACATCTATTGAGATACAGGTCTATAAAAAGGTCTCGTGTTTTTAATGTGAACCCCAGATCTTGGGATCTGAACTCCATCTCGGAGACCGTCTTGGCAGCTGGGAGAGCAGCCTGGCCTCCCAGTGAGCATTTCCAAGGTGTTTCCTGAAGATCTCATCGTGGGAGCCCAGCCAAGCCCAGCTCGCAGGGGGGCTGCGCCGTGGCCTTCTGCCAGCCCGGGAGGTGACGTTGCAAGAGGAATAGGGTTGTTGGCGAGCCCTTGAACCCCTGGCCAGGGCAGGGTGCTGGTGGGGTGGGATACAGGGACGGGTGCTTGCACCGGGTGTCATGGGGGATGCGCACTTCGGATGGGGGCTGTTGGCAGGGCTGGGCTGTGCAGGAGGAGATGCCCTGTCTGAAGGTGCTGTCAGCTCCAGTGACGTGGTGTGGTTTTGGGGCAGGGCCCTGGATCTCAGCAGCTTTCACCGCTGCCTTTCCGGGCCCTGAGATGCACAGGGAGCTGGGTGCGAGCAGGGGTAGGGGCACAGTGCAGGCAGGAGTTCCGGTGACTGCTTAGGGTCCTCCTGCTGCCGGGGCACCTTAGGGGCTTGCTGGGAGACATGGGGCTTGGGAAACGGGCCCCAGGTGAGGTGGACCTCCCTCTGCACCTCCTGAGTCCTTCCTGCATGGGGAGGATTTTCCATTCCTACAATGGCTGCCCCATTTGCTTTTCTCCATTTGGCTTCAAAGTCAGCCCAGGCTCCTCCTCTTCCTCGCCTTGCGACCAGCTCGGTGACCAGCACACCCACCTCTGCTGTATGGATGGGGAAACTGAGGCACGGGGCGGTGGCGTGGTTCGCCGTGCCACAGCGACAGGGCTGGGATCCAGGCACTCAGGCCCTGCAGTTAAGCTCTGCCATCCCCCCGTGTGGGGCTGGGGCCGATGCCCGTGGTGCCTG